GCAAAAATCACAGTTGATATATTCACAACAATCACAACAACTAAATGTAGCATACCAACAATTTACCCCTAGCGCTTCTATGTTGAATCCGGCTACTTGGAATGAATATGTTCGTTCAAATCATTCGACACCAACAAATTCTCCTTCACGTTCCGACACACAACATAATAGTGGATCTCAAAATGGAGCTTATAACATGGATTATCTTATTTCTGACAATTTATCTGGAAATATGGCATTGTCAACTTCTGACAACAATTTTGGATTGGAGAATTTTTATCCAGTTAATACAACATCGGAATTTTCCAACAACTATGGATATGGTGATATTACAAACGCGTCCATTGCTGCTTCTGTTGGTAACTCACCAATATCTAGTCCTGATGTGTGTGGTGATTCATTATGTCACCGTAATCAGGCCAATGATATTAATGCAACGGAAAGTCACATTGAATCAAGAAAGAACTCTGTTAATGATTTGTCATATGAGAATCTTCATCAACCTTTGGATGAGCTAGCCGCAGCAGCAGCAATGATCTCCTGTGGTCGTGATAGTAAGACGTACACACCAATAGTAGTTGATTCAATAAGTACTACTAATGCTAAAAATAATCGTAAACCCCATTTAATGCCTTTGAATATTACAACAAATCCGTCTGACATGTATCGCCTTGGTGACATGTCGGCTGAATTTGGGTTTGATTCTCTTGCGAGTTCTCCGTCTCCCGCTGTCACTATGCCTCCTACACCAGTGTTTTTTGAACCAGGCTTCCTTGACGGCGTTACCAATCCGACGATTTCTGATAGTTTTACTTTCAACTTAAATCCTGAATTACCAACCGATCAATTACTTGAAAGCGCTACTACAATCTCACGATCACATAGTTATGATAATATGTCATCGCCTCAGCACGGTTCCGTTTTTACATCTGAAAAGATAATCGACAACCCGCAAACAATTACTCCAGCTGCTATTACCATTACCCCGAATTTTGCACCGATGCTTACACAAACCCCGAGCACTCTTGATTTGGAGACTGATTATTTCAGCGTCAAACAACTTTGCCAACAACGTCCTGTTGCTAGAAGTCGTAGAAATAGTTTAGTTAGTAATCCACCAAACATTAAGGCTGAACCACGAACACCTGCTCTTTCGCCACCTGAATCTCCTGGTACTTCAATGTCATCTACTAGTTCCTCACCACCATCGCCGTCTCCTCCGCACACACCAACTTACATGCGTAGAGTGTCTATTTCCCCGACCATCATGGAAGAAGAGGAAGATATAATGGCTTCATCTGCTAACACCAATAATCTTGCGCTTGTTGTTTCTAATTATGGTACAGATATGTCTTCAACTGTCAATCAGAGACTTTCTCAGAGCGCTACGGTTAACCTTATGAGGTTTGTATTATCATTTATTAGATATAATTATAAATCAGTATTAAATTCTTCTCAATCAATGTATGTTTAAATATTTAATAGGCCAGTGATTCAACAGTACTTGAATTCTACTAATCCAGCCGCGATGGGCGAAAAAACAGTAATGGTCTTGACTTCAAAAGTTGCACAAAAATCTTACGGTACAGAAAAAAGATTCTTGTGCCCTCCACCTACAACATTGATTTTGGGATCAAATTGGTGGTCTCCGCACAATATTGGACATTCGCAATCATCCACGACATACAGCCCGCCTAAGATCTCTGTAGGAATTTCTGGTGAACAAGGACATCAACAAGGAATTCTAGAATGCATTAGTTCATCCGGAAATCCTCTTGATCCTAATGCGTGTTCCGAAATGGCTTTCAGCGGAAAATGTGTTTCTAAACATTTATATATAAATGATGCTGATGAAAAACGAAAGAGAGTTGAAGTTCTTGTCAATATTCAAAGTCCTATGGGTCATGATTTCGGCACTTTTGCAAGTAAGCCGATCAAGGTTATTAGCAAACCAAGCAAAAAAAGACAAAGTGTAAAAAACATGGAATGCAAGTATCTTCTTATTCATAATGAGTTCTATTCCATTTTATACAATTTAATAATGATTACTGTTTTTACAGTGTGCATTCATCACGGGACTACAATTTCACTTTTCAATCGTATTCGTTCTCAAACAGTATCCACCAAGTATCTTGGTGTTTCAATGCAAAATAACAATCAAACGTTTGGCCCTTGGAATTACAATAATGGTCACATGCAATCAAGTCAAAATGAACAACCTCACCCTTGCTTCGTTGCTCGTACTGGAAGTTGGGATCCATTCATAATTTGGATAGTTGATCCTCGTTATGTAAAGGGTAAAGATGA